TAAATAATGTTTAATCATTTTCATTTAAGTCTGATGCTGCCGTTGTCGTGATGTTCAAGAATTGATTGACTATTATTTCTTGATATACTTTCTATACGAAGTTACAAAATTCCATCGTAATTTTTGACAAATTTTAATTTTTTTATTTCGCTCTAATTAACTTTCCCACCTTTCCTATTCAAAGAAAAATTGATTTCCCGTTTTCGGTCAATTCTTAACTATATCAGAAGACATTGTGCATTTGTTGTGTTCAATTTGTACCTAAATTAGTAGGAGTATCAGATTATCAACATCGACTGAAATCTCATAGCTTCATAGCTTACTTGCATTTCACTTAGTTTTGAGATACGGCAGTCTTGCATTAAGTGCACACGTAATGTTCGGAAATACAATACAAACATTTTGATGAATTTGAGCATTACGCAACTATTAAAAACCGTTTATACTTACATATACTAAAACTACATTAACTTTTTTATGCATTAATGATAAATTTAAGAATTCGGCAAATTTTGACTTACGTAAGTATTGCTCTCACAGTGCGATTTGTATGTATTTTGAAAGAAATTGAGTTGAAAGTTTAAAACGCTGCAGAAAATAGATTGAGAAACCCACAAGGTTCAGTATACCACAACTTTTTATTTTCTTTATAATGTTTTAAAAATATATAAAATAAACTGTTACTGTCCAAATATAACAGTAAAAAAAATCCAATTGTTTAATCCTGTGTTCCAATATTGTATGAAAAAATGAACTAACTCCAACTTGAATGGTCGGTACCAAGGTCTACCCCTCAATGTTTCCCTGAAAAAAAGTTACTTATTTCAAATAAGAAACAAGAAAAAGTACTCGTCGAACTCGTCATCACTTCGATAGCCATCTGTAAATGGTAATTCCGTGTAAAATGACTGAAAGTCCTCCGACACGAACAACTTCAGTTCTTGCAGTTAATCGTATTTTTTCCTAGTCAAAGGTATCGAGGCAGAATATAACGCTTCAAAAAATTTAATTCAAAAAATGAATCCTGAATGGATCCAACCACATATTAGGGGACCATTCTAAATGTGCAAATTATTTTTGTAAACAAAGTGGACAAGGAAGTTCAACAGTTTTGTCTATAGCATAATCCTGAACTTGTGGTTTATAGATACATTATTGAGATTATTTGGCTTTTAGATTTCTCGATTTTTCTACTTTAGACGTTTCAATTTTTCAGTACTTCAATTTTGGTTATTTCCAATTTTTCCATTCTTCAAATTTTCGGTTTCTCCATTTTTTTTATTTTTCGATTTTTCAATTTTCCGATGTTTCAATGATACAATTTCTCAATTTTTATCCTCTTCAATTTTACGATTTCTAAATATTTAGATTTTTCAATTTTTGAATTTTTCAAATTTTGACGTTTCTAAATTTTCAGTTTTCCGATTTCTGAAGTAATTTTTTTTTTATTTTCCCATTTCTTCCCAAAGTTTCGATTTTTCACTTCTTCAATTCTTCAATTTTTCGATTTTTTAGGTTTTTGATGTTTCAATTTCTCAGGATTTTTGATTTTTCAATTTTTTGATATTATAAGCTTACAATTTTTCGACTTCTGGATTTGCCGATCGATCAATCAACAAATATTCAAAAAGAACACCGAAATCGAATCAATCATCAATCGAACTATTTCCACGAAAATCGAAATTTACCCACTTCTACACCTGCACAGTTTTTCTCCGAATGATCACCATATCGCAAGAAATATTAAGAAAATTAGAAGAACTTTGAAACAGCAATCAGCTTCGCAAAATTGAACATGCGGCACAATTCAATAATCGACCCAAAGGACCTGTTAAGTGAACTAAAAATAGTAGAAAACAAACTCGACGAAAAAAACCTCGCCTACGAAGCGAACGAAGCAAACCTTCTAGCCTACGAAAGAATAATACAAATTAAGGCTTATCATAAAGATCTGCATGTCACGTTCATTTTTGAGATACCTCTTACCGAACCTCGTAATTCCATTTTTTACCAATTATACCATTTCCTATTCAGGATGATTCCAAAGTAATTATACCGACCCACAAATACCTCTACTTTAAAGAGCTTTACTTCCATTTTAACGACGATAAATGTTGTAGAGTCACCCCTGGAGATTATATCTGCAATTTGCCACAGACCAGTGAAATTTCCAAAGAAGCACCTTGTGAAATTCAACTGCTCAAATTTTCAAAGGATAACCAGCAGTGTAATATCATCAAAGTCAACCTCAAAAACATGAAAATCAGAAAAATCGACAAGAACCAATGGATTGGAATATTCCCAATTGAGCAACCAGCCACTTCAATACGCGGACAACAGGAAGAACACCTATCAGTAAAAGAAAGTTACATTATCACCGTTCCAAATAGATGTAAATTAAGAATCAAGTCAACGACCCTTCAGAGCTACCAGAATCCGGAATTTAAGAAACAGTCGATCCAAACACCGAAATTAAAAATCTCATCAAATATACTCAAAGAAGAAATCTGGAAACAAGAACCGTTACAATTCGAAACAGTCGACTTGGCAGACATCGACACAATTTACCACAGGATGCACGAGATACAATAGGATCTACAAAAAGAGGGCCACGGATACGTCACATACTCCACTAATATTTGGACAATTTCAATCTACATCTTTTTTATTGTCACAGTAATCTTTTTCATTTGGCACAAGTGTATCAGGCCTCGAATTCATAGATATCATTTCCAATGGTTGTCAGGTCCACCACCGGAAGACTTAAAAATTCGACATCACTCCCCCAATTTTCAATCTAGGCAGGGAGGTGTTGTGATATCAGCGTAAACCACAATGGACAATCATTCTGCAGACCCATATCCGCAAGATGCGCTTCCACACTTGCATCAATATCAACATGACAACTCAATTCTGCAGTTTTCCTCCATATAAAAAACATCGGAATAATTCATTTTTCAGTTCAGAAGCATCCGTCATACGTGTAGTTTAGTTTGATAATTGTAAATAATCAATATTAAATAATCCAAAAAATAATCAAGTGTAATAAGAATTTTGAATAAAATAAAAGTTCTGTTTAAAAACAAGTTTATTAAACCACTAAACTTAACTCGCGGAAGTTCTTTTTTTTGTACTTATTTTAGGAATATCATGTAGATGGTAAAACGCTAACCAAAATTTGTCTAATCATCCCCACCACTAATGCGATGACGTCACTTCAAAATTGTACATAGTAAATGGGTTTTAAATTGTACAAAATAACATAGTCCTACACATGTAGTTTATGACTCCGAATTGAGTTTATACCCTAAACGTCCAAATTTTTTGGAAAAAAAATCAAAATTATGAAACAACATTTTACAATTTAATTTTGAATCTGCAAAACCGAATACTTTGAAATCTTGCAGATGGTTTACAGTTATGATAAAGATGATAAATTTTTAATCAAAATATATTTACTTATCCCCTCCAAAAAATTGATGACGTCAGCTCAAAAGTTTGCCGAATAAATCCTATCTAAAATGTACAAAATATGATGAGTTTGTACTTGTGATTTATCATTCCAATCACATTTTTTGGATTTGCAGCTACAGGGTGGCTCAAAAAAATTAATGAACGTGTGAATTTATTTTATTGATTTAATCAAAAACTACAAAACTGAATGCTTTGAAATCTTGGAGATATTTTAAAGTTATCATAGGCATGGTAAATTTTTAGTCAAAATGTATTTGCTCGTCCCCCCCTAAAAAATTGGTGACGTCACCTCAAAATTTTGCTGTATAAATCCTATCCTAGTGTGCAAAGTATGATGAGTCTGTAGTTGTGATTTATCATTCCATTCATATTTTTTGGATTTGCATATACAAGGTGACTCAAAAAAAATTAATTAATGCGTGAAATTATTTTATTGATTTAATCAGGAACTACTAAACCGAATGCTTTGAAATCTTGGAGATGTTTTAGATTTATAAGCATGGTAAAATTTTGATCAAAATGTATTTGCTCATCCCCCCCTAGAAATTTGATGACGCCGCAGCAAAATTTTGCTGAAAAAATGTGTAAAGAATTATGGGTCTATACTTGTGATTTATCACTACATTAATATTTTTTAGATTTGCTTATACGACTGAGTCAATTAATTTTATTGATTAAATCAAGAATTGCAAAACTGGATACTTTGAAATCTTGCAGACGTATCGTCTTAAATTACAAGTACTACACAGAGTGTGCCTATTATCTGTTCACGCCTGACGATTTTTGCATAGGCTACATATTATACACCCCAGAGACGACTTCGTCCAATTTATTTTTTTTTTTTTTAATAAGCAATCATAGCAATCCCAAAAAAAATTACAAAGATGTCAATGCCAAATAACGACAAAATTGAAAAAATTAATACTCAATTTATTTTAAAATGCCCCACTACAAAAATGTAATGCGAAAAAAAACATAATAGGGATGCAGTCGTCACGTTTCCGACAGCGAGGGAAGTACTGTCTAAACTCTTTAGACCAATTTTTTAGAATTTATATTCAGTTTTTACTGAGTACGTGTTTCCCTTCCCTTTTATCTTGTTACTCTCATCTTTTCCTGGCAACACTTCTCTACACCTTCACGCCGGTTCTTGCCAGATGGTTAAGAAGTTGACAAGTTTGTTTAACCAACTAATTATAAATATTTAAGCAAACCTACACTACGGAAGAGCATTTTGTGCTCTGCTTCATTAACTTTCTAAGTCATGAGCCACCCCTGCTACACATTTATCTCTCCACTAGCAAACTTGTCAATATGAAATAAGCAACGTTGTCGCAAATTGTTAAAACACAATAGATTACATAGCATGACTGCAGTACCTTAAGCCTTAACTGAATAAAATGTCATGAGATAAGCCTGCTACGAGTATAATTTTGCTGTTGCATATCCAGTGAGATTAAGTAGCAAAAATAATTGTGATAGTTTAGTTGTAAAGTTAGTACTTAATGTAATTATTACAAAGATACCTTAAACAATTCTATTGCAACGGGGTGTCGAGGGATTTTTCTACTTTCATTTGAAAAGCAATGGTTCACAACATCGTCCCAAAATTGAATTCTCATTAAACCTATCTCCCTCTGGGTAACCTGTTCAGCTATTCTAGATACTTCAATATTAAAACTTCGAACTGCAAATGCACAACTTCTAGCATCTCTCTTTAACCAAAGCATGGTAACAAAATTCTCATAGTCATGGTTCCTACAAAGATAAGTATAGATACCCAACTTTTAAAATTTGTCACATTTTACTTTACTAATTTCATGCAATACTGGGCATTAGATATGGTAGTTGCACTTCTTTTAATAACCATAAAAATTCCATTGTTCAGTCGTTTAAATGCTTCCCTCATGACTGCAAATGTTCATAACAATACAATTAGCAGCTTTATTCACAATTTTTCTTTGTCTTATTCTTTCTACTTATCAAAAATTGAGCATATTTTCTTATCACCAATTCACCAATTGTAAAATCTTGGTAAAATCTAAAATGTTATCATTGACCACTCAAGTAAGGTTAGAATTTACATTGCGCGGCAGTTCATAATTCAAAAATTCTACTACGGGTTTCTTATGGGAACTTGATTTTACAGACAAAATACGCCGCATAGGTAGAAATCTTAACTAGTTCTTACTAGAGATGTGTCGTTCGCGAACGAACGAATCAAATTGAACGGGTCGTTCGAATGAACGAGTGACCGAAATCGTTCCCAACGCAAACTGGTCGTTCTTTCGTTCATTTCGTTCACTCGTTCACTCGTTCACCGTTCACATTGTCTCGACTGGATCTTGATTCCGTTGGATCTTTGAATCATGGCTCCAGCACAGTTCTATGTTCTGTATCAAATACTAGGAGCACATGCTATGCTATTTATGGAATTAACTAAGAACATAAGTTTTCCCGACAGATTAATTCCAGTAGTATGAATTTAAATTAGGAACCAGGAACGAAAATGACAATTTATGACGATAACTAATATACAATGTTCATAAACGTCTGAACATTAGAAACTAAAAAAATAAATGTAAATAAATAATTATTATTACTATTGTAATGATTATTAATAAAAAAAATCCCTATGGCCACGTAAAAAAGGTAATGTATAATATAATCAATGAACGTGACTATTCACGGCTTCATCACATTAGAACGTAAGGAAAAGGTATAAAAGGAAACAAAACAAATCTGCTCCTACATTGTTAATCGTAAGGGCGACGACCGAATGATTCGAAAGATCCAATAAATTATTTTTTTTTACTCAAAAGTTGCTTGGAAGCTGTGATAAAAACGAATTTAATTTTTGTGTCAAAAGTGCTAGTGATGTATTTATTAACACAATTATTTGCGTTCACAAATTCAAGTTACTTTTTTTAAATATTAAATTATTATTTTTACATCACAGAATTCAGAAAAAAATCGTTACATGAATCTCTAAAAAAATGGGAGGCATTAAAAAAAATTAAATGTAGACAAAACCAAATAAACGTTAAATCATTAATTTTTCGAATCAGATCATAGTATATTTCACACGATTTAATTTGACGTATCACACAATGCAGTATTCGAAAAATAAGACAGCAATGGGCCGGGGTTTTTTTTTTCGAATACCTATGCGATAGTTCTGAGCATGACTTTCCCTATAAAGTGATCGGATTCAAGCAAAAGGGGAACTAATTTGACCATTGACCGAAGAGCCGAAAGACCGAATGATTCATCAATAGATCCCTGAGCCTTGAATGATTAAGAACGAAGTGAACGGTGAACGAAATGAACGAAATGAACGAAATGAACGAAATGAACGACATTTGACGACCGGGTCTTCGTAGGGACCGAACGATGAACGATCCGTTCGTACTGATGACCGAATCTGCCCATCCCTAGACTTCTTACTGCAAGCGATAAAAGCTGTACAATTAAAAAAAAATTTTTAACCAATAACACGTGACGTCATGTTGTGGCGGGAACTCAGCGTTTGATAAGCGCCGTGAAACTCCGTTAGCGACAATGTTAACATTTTCGCATTTTATTTAAAAGTGTGGATATTTATCTAGAAAATAAACACGTGAATAGCTTCTTTCGTATTTTTTCTGTGTATCAGGGTGCTTTTTTGGCGATTTGAGTTTAGAAATACATAATAACAATAAAAATACAGAACGCTGTTTTGGTCTGAATTCCTCGTCACCCAAAATACATCCGTGTATTTTAAGCGGGTAATCCGAAATTAATATTTTCGTTTGAGTTTGTGACGGGTTTAAGTGAAGGTGTGTAATTTGTTTTTAAAGTATGGATAATTTAAGTGATTATGCGGGTAATCCGAAATTAATATTTTCGTTTGAGTTTGTGACGGGTTTAAGTGAAGGTGTGTAATTTGTTTTTAAAGTATGGATAATTTAAGTGATTATGCACGACATCTTTCCGTCGAAGACAAAAACAGATATGTACAAAAATTAAACAATTTAAACGGCGTATACAAGGAGTGCAAGTGATTTTAATTTGTGTTTAGACGATGTCCCTACCATAATAATGAATACCATTCTAAACTTTTTTATTTTTGGAGTAAATAAAATAACCCACAATAAAATTCGTGCCTTCAAAAGTCTAGAGCATTTATTCAGTTTTCTCTTTTTTAAACAACTGTGTCTTTCAATATTACAAGTATTATGTGTGGATTTATTTTGATATCTTAAATTTTGTGATGGAACATAATCAGGATGGTCCACATCCGACAAATCTGCAGGTTTACCTAAAAGAGCACCAATGTAGTAATTTGTTAGAAACTGTAAATCTAATAGGTAGGTACTGTACCTCAAATAAAATGTTTGTCGTAAACTTTCATAAAGTTGTTCAAGATTAGCCGTTTTTAAACTCACTTGGGGATTAAACGGATTTTCAGAGACAACAGCTCTGACTTCAGCTGATTCACTTTTCTTCAGATGTACGTCCCATAAACGCGAATTATTGGTACCAAATATATTATAATGTCCATGAAGGGCAACTACAATCATATGACACACAAATGTACTCTTGGGCTTTCACATGTTGCCTTTTCTACTGAGACATCCAAATAAAGGAATACCTATCCATTATAAAACAAAATAAGTCATGATTGTACTTCATACAGAATTTATCAATTTACATTAACTTACCACAACGTTATACTGGCTATTTCGCATGCCAGCTCGAATAAACTCTTGAAGCACCTTTAATTCAATATCCCAATTGACGTTCATTACATTATTTGATTGCAAAGAATATTCTCCGTTCACAATGCATCTCCGATCATCAACAAAAAAAAATTGGTAATCGTCCCTGATGTTAACACATGTCTTTCTGTCATTATTAATAACACATACAAAAAAAAACAAACCCAGAAACATATACAACCTAATGTGAACTAATATCATCCAAAAATTGTGATCATGGGGCGGGAACTTCAAAGGATTGAAATGGGCATGCGTTTTAGTACGGGGAACAGTCCACGAGAGGCGCTGGCGGCATGTTTTTAAATTTAAAACAATATCTATGAGAATATAATTCATGAATCACATGACCCCATTTCGTCCAATAGAATTTGTTCATGCCCTTAGTTACATGTCTATCACAGCGATAATAATTTTATTGCCTTATTGTGGTCTGTTGCTATCTAAATTTAAAAACTGTCAAATTGACAAATTTTAAAATTTCGTAAATTTTTTTGTCTTTTATGGCTTGCCAACGTTGGGGGCAAGCTCAAAACGACGAAATCAACTCTATTATCAAAAAATGTGTTCATTTATTATATTCTCATGTTGAATATAACTCGTGATATGATTAATAATCGAAGATATGGCTCGTGAAACCGAAGCAGCACATTCAACTCGTGCTTCGCACTCGTTGAATCTGCAGCTCGGTTTCACTCGAAATATTATCGATAATAATCATATCACTTGTTATATTATAACTGAAAATAATAAATAAAAGCGCTTCGGTTACTTTGACAACTTGAAACGTCAAAAATTAATTATCGTCTCGATTCCCGTGCTTTCCCAACCGTTCTGTTCTGCTATCTTGGTCTTTGAGCCACAGTTTTTCGATTAATTTGCTCTGTTAGTTTTGTTTTCGTTACTTTTATATATATTTTTGGTGTTCGCGTTCTCTTTATTGTTGTTTTTGTGTTGCTGTTTGGTGTTTCTTGTTTTACTGTTTGTTCCCCGTTCAATTAAGGACTTTATAAGGTAAAAATATTTGTTTAATTTGAAGATATGGAATTTTATTATTAACTATTGCAGTTAGAGGATGCTGAAGTACCGCAAGTGTGCCGTTGTAACCTGCGATGATCGCCAATCCCCGCGACATCGCTTTCCAAATCCCCGTAAATTCAAAAGCCGTTTTGAACGATGGATTGAGCTTTGCGGAGATAAAGATCTTCATGTTAAGAATGCAGACCTGGTGTATCGCTCCCACCGTATTTGTGACAGGCATTTTCTTGTGGAAGATCGGTCGTCTAATATGTTGCTGAAAAAGGATGTGTTGCCAAGTCTTTTTTTGCCTCTCCATTTTCCTGTATCAGATTCAAATTTAGATCCTGTTTCTTCTCAAGAAGACACGGTTGCAGGTAAAATTTACATATTTACGTATTTCTCTCTTTTTCATGGTGAAATAAAAACTACATTTTGGCGAATCTACAATTATTTATTATTGCAGACCCCATAAATGATCCCGCTTCCGAGCAAATCAGTCCCGATTCCATCCCAGTTCCATCCTTGAGTGAAAGACGCATTTTAAAAAGATCATCAAGCTTTGCATTGGTTAACGAAGTTCCTTCAAAAATCTTAAAAATCGCAGGAGTTACGTACAGCAAAGAGCTTCCTGAAGAAGCAAAAAAACTTTACAATTTAACAAAAAAACTTAGGAGAAAAGTATGTCGCCTTACAAAAACCAAAAATTTTTATAAAAAAAAACGCGGTTGTCTGTAAAGTCGGTTTACTGACGATAGTTGAACGTGACAACGTCTTAAGAAAATACTGATGGAATGGTTTTGGGCTTTTGATTTTGAAGCAGCGATTATTGGCTGCGCGAATGGCGTTGCTAAAGTAAATGCTACAGCATCTTGAACCTCCATGGGTTCACTCATTGAAGGTAAAGGCTTATTCGTAACATCCTCTGGTTTGTCAGGCTTTTTTTCCATGGTGCGTTTGTAAGCAGTTCTGCAAAATAAATCGTCGTTCGAAACAATTTAAATAAAATTCTTAAAATATTATCGTTGTCACGTCAAAATTGACACTACATTCACTTTTCACTGCACTTGATACTCGACCAAAACATGTAAATGTACTATAATATAGCAGCTGTCCACGCAGACGCATCGCTCACTCAAGTAGGAGAGAGACGGATGGCGAACGCTGCCGAACGCGAAGGCCGATTGTGCCTCTTTGTCGCTCGTTCCGCGTTCTCGCTTGCACTTCAAGCCTTACATGGAACGTGACAGTAACGGTATGAGTCATGCTTTTTCGAGCGTGCAGCCGGCTCCATCGATTTATAAGACGTTGTCACGTCAAAAGCAAGTGACAAAAATTTCGAAAGAAGAACTAGTTGAAAAGGTGACAGCGCCTTTGAATCGGACGGTTGCAAATTTCGTAAAGACCCAGATTAGATTAGCCGATGTGCATCCTAATGGTAGAAGATATACGTTGGATGACAAAATTATGGGTCTCATCTTGAACAAACAAAGTAACATAACATATAAACTCTTTTCTAAAATATTTCCAATGCCTTCGAAAAAAACTATAATGGCCTTACTCAATAGAATACCGATTAAAGCGGGTTACAATGAGGCACTATTTGACAACTTAAAAGCAAAAGTTAAAGGCTTAAAACAGCAAGAAAAACTATGTGTCCTAATGTTTGACGAAATTTCCATAGAACCACATATATCGTTGAACACGCATTCAAAAGAGTTTGAAGGGTTTGAGGATTTTGGAGAAAAAAAGAGCGAAAAAATTGCTGATAGGGCTCTCGTTTTCATGATTAAGGGTATAAAAAGGGAATGGAAACAGCCCCTTCTGTACACCTTCTCCAGCGGTCCGGTGAAAACAATAGATTTGGCGAGAATAATTAAACAAGTTGTAAAACAATGTCAAGACGCAGGATTAAAAATTATAGCCTCAGTAAGTGACCAAGGGACGAATAATCAGGCAGTGATTAATTATTTAATGAAATCTTCTATTGGAACTAATGTTCAAATTGGAGACAAAATCAAATTTTTTAAAATTAACGAGCAGAAAATAATCCACATATATGATCCTCCGCATCTTCTTAAAGGAATTCGCAATAATCTCTTAAAATATAAACTAATTTGGAAAATACAAGACAAAGAACCATTAAGTGCGCAATGGTCAGACATCCAGAAAGCATACCAACTAGACAAGTGTTCGACCGATCTACGTGCTATGCCAAAACTTACCGAGGGTCATGTTAATCCCAAAAAAATTAGAAAAATGAAGGTCTCATGTGCTGCACAAGTTTTTAGCCATACAGTTGCATCGGTTCTGGGACTAATGACAAAAATTGGAGACAGTGGCTTAGACGAGGAAGCGATTGGCACTTCTAAGGTCCTTAGTTTTTTTAACAAATTGTTTGATAGTGTAAACGGAAGGGTGTTAAAGCCCATGAAAAGGAATTTTTTGAGATGTGCAGTAACAGAACGATCCAAACATTTAAAGTTCTGGCAATGCGCGAGAAATAATCTACGAAATATGCATTTTGAGAAAGGAGGCAAAAAGTTTATCCCGCCAAGTTTAAAAAATTGGGAAATCACCTTAAATGGATTCGAAGAAATTTTCAAAATTTTGAAAAGTCATGGTTTAACGTTTTTTAAGCCTCGGGTTTTCAATCAAGACCCGTTAGAAAATTTTTTCGGCCAAATTCGTCAACAAGGAGCTCGAAATACAAATCCTATGGTTACCCAATTTAAAAATCATTTTAAAACTCTTTTGTTTAATAATTTAACTACTACTCATTCTATTTCTGCAAATTGTGAAATTGATAATTCCGAAGAAATTCTAACGTCCGTCAGACAATTTATAACGCAAGGCCTATCTGAAGATGACGAAACCGAAGAAATAGAAACAATTGACGAAAATTTATTGATTAGCCCGGGACCGGAATTTTCTTATATAGATAAAATTAGCATGGGCTACGTAAGTGGTTTTATTGTTAAACAATTGAAAGGAATAGAAACATGCATAAAATGCGAAAAAAATTTAACAACAGTAAACAAAAATGAGTGGCATAATCTGGTTGTTGCGAAAGAATTTAAAGATTCGGTTCCCAATAAATTGAAATATTGTACTCCGAAGCTTATTATAGGTTTAATGCCCGTTTGCACCAGTTTAGCTTAAAGTTTTGGTTTAACTAAACTTGGCTTTCGTTTAAACCGGGCTTAAGATCTATGAGCGTTGCACCACTATCGGCTTAACAAAGCGCTACATTAACCACTGTTTCCGTAAAAGCGCCTTTGCAGTAGTGGTTTCTGACAGTATTTTGACAGATGGCAGTATATCTAACATAACCTTCAACTGTAAAGCAATAGCCTTGTTGTGTAAACAATAGTTAGCCGTTACATTTTGCAGTCGCGTGGTGTTGTTTTTATTAGTAGCTACTATAGTGGTCTATGCTTTTGGGATCAAAATAAACTTTTGGTTTAATACCTATTTATTGTAAAGTAAGTACCTAAAGAAGGAATTTTCTAATAAAAGTGTTTGGAAGCGTGTATTCATGATTATGTAATTATTCCTTTGTTAACAGATTATTAGTGAAAAGAAAGAAAGTTGGGTTAACCGTAGAAGACCAGCATTATCTGCCACCGAATCGGTCGCCCGGAAATATGAAGATATGGCAGTTACACGAGCGGAAGTGGCAAAACTACAGTTAAAGATTTTGCAGCATAAGCTACAACAGCAGACCAAGGAAGCTGAAGCTTCAGCTAAGTTGTTGCAGCTCCAAATTGAAACAGCTGAATTGCAAAAAAAAAGTGCTTTATTAGATGTTAAAATAAAAGAAAAACAATTGCAAAAATTAGAAGAAATGTAACAGCATTATATCTAGTTTAAATAAACGTATTTTTATAATTGTCCAAAATATTCATTTATTAGATTTCTCTCTCGACAGGCGAAATCTTCTGCGAAATGCAACCTCATCCAAGGTATCAAAATAATGATATCGCTCGTATATTTGGCGTGGAATCCGATTCTCTAAAAAGTCCAGTACAAATAAATCATCAATATCTTCATTTTCTTCGAAAATGGCATTTGCGATTTCCATAATTGATGATTATATTATTGTACTCTTCTTATATCTATATGTATATGCATTTAAACCAGAAAAATAATCGGACACCAGCTTGCGTACTACTTATCGTATTGTTACGATTGACGGACGAATAATAAATCGGGTGTTGGTAAAACTCAAAAAAAAATTTATTTCTTCAGGTCGAATTACAACACTATCTATTGCGACGAATATGTACAGAAATTATTCCGGCGCTCTCGACTGTCTTCACTGGATGAATGAATCCATTACCTACGGTCGCCTCTATTTAAACCCATAGTCTCTGATCGAGATCCTTCACGAACATCCATCGCGACTCCGCTTCGAGACTCCCCTGGACGCCGCTTCGAGACGCTCCAGACCTGTCTTTATGCGCCCGCCTCTCGGCCGTCAACAGCGATGATTCACCCATCAGCGCCGTGCGTACGTCCAGAAGGCTCTCGACCGCCATAGGCGTCGTACTGGGGCGGCGTAAGGGTGTATTTCGTAACACTGCCCCCCTCTTCAAATCCGATCGTCCCGATCGGAAGCGTCTTCGTTGTTTCCTTCGTACCGTTTTAGTCGATCGAGATGAACGATCTTCATCTTTGTCTTTGGTCCACGTTGGATCCGATAAACTACGTCATTTATTCTAGTGACGATAGTGTATGGACCTTCCCAGTCAGGAGCCAGTTTTGGGCAACGTCCCTTCTTCCGTCGGGGGTTATACAGCCACACTAAGTCATCTTCCTGGAATCCGCCACAGTTGGCCTTCACATCATAACGGGTCTTCATTCGGTCACTGGCAATCTTGATCCGGCCCCTCACTAGTTCATGCACGTTGACCAACTTCTCTTTCAGTTCGTTCACGTAGTCACGTACTTCCATTGGTTCTTCGGATGGCAATCCAAAGACTAGGTCACAGGGCAGCCGCAGTTCCTTCCCAAATACAACGTGAGCAGGTGTTTGGCCCGTGGTGTCGTGGATAGCTGCGCGGTAGGCCAGCAGGAATAGTGGAAGGTGCTGGTCCCAATCCCTTTGGTGCTCTTCTACCACTTTCGAAAGGTGTTGCTCCATACTCCGATTGAACCTTTCCACCATGCCGTCGGACTGTGGGTGTAGTGGCGTTGTCCTTGTCTTACGTATTCCCAGTAGCTGCATCACTCTTTGGAAGACGTTGGATTCGAAATTGCGTCCCTGGTCTGAGTGAAGTTCCAAGGGGACGCCAAACCTACTGATCCAATTGTCAACCAGTACTTTCGCGACCGTGACGGCTTCCTGATTTGGAATGGCATAGGCATCTGGCCACTTGCTGAAGTAGTCGCTAGCCACCAGGATAAACTTGTTGCCGTCGTTTGTTACAGGGAACGGACCGGCCACATCGATGGCGATTCTTTCGAAAGGTGCCCCAACATTATATTTCTTCATCTTTCCCCTCGCCCTGGTATGAGGACCTTGGCTGGCCGCACACGTCGTACACTTGCGACACCAACTTTCGACATCGTCACGATGACCTACCCAATAAAACCTCTCCCGGATTTTCGACAAAGTTTTGTTCACTCCGAAGTGGGCTCCAGATGTTCCGGCATGAACTTCCTCTAAGACCTTGGAAACCTTTACCTTGGGGAGGACCAGCATCGTCTTAGAGGTACGCCCATCAGGACTCTCCCACTTTCGCTTCAAGAGCCCATTTTCCATGACCAAGGAATCCCATTGGGCCCATAATGCCTTCAAACTGGGGGATTGGTCGGACAATTCTGCCCAGCCGGGTCGTTCGACTCCTTCCTCCTTCCACTTTAGTATTGGTCCGATTATGTCGTCTGCTTCTTGCTCACGCTTTAACCGCGCCGTTGTCCATTCTTCATCTTGCTCAAAAATCGTCCGACGAACGGGCAGGTTCCCTTCTTCCGCGTCGATCCTGTCGCAGTGCTTGCACTCTCCACACGGACGCCTTGACAAAGCGTCAGCGTTGTTGTGAAGTCGACCCGCTCGGTGTTTGATCCTAAAGTGGTACTGCTGTAGTCGTTCCAGCCAACGCGCTACTTGGCCCTCGGGATTCTTTATCCGCAGTAGCCACGAGAGGGCAGCGTGGTCGGTCCTGATCAGAAACTCCTGTCCGTATAGATACTTGTGGAAGTGGTTGACGGCTTTGACAATGGCTAGTAGTTCCTTCCTTGTGGCACAGTAATTTCTCTCTGGTTTGGAATGTAATTTGCTAAAATATTCGATAACTCTTTCCTCCCCATCTTGTATCTGCGACAATACGGCCCCAATTCCCGAGTTACTCGCATCGGTATCGAGGACGAACATTCCTTTGTCCCTGGGGTAAGCCAAAATGGGGCTGGTGCACAAAGCCGTCTTCAGTCTCTTAAAGGCCATCTCACATGTACTGCTCCACTTGAAAGTCGCCTTCTGCTCCGTCAGTTGGTGTAACGGTGCTGCGATGTCGGCATACCCTTCTACAAATCGTCGGTAATATGTGCAGAGTCCCAAGAAGCTTCGTAGTTCATGCTTGTCTCTTGGTATGGGCCAATCCCGGATAGCAAGAACTTTCGTCGGGTTGGTTTCTATTCCTTTCTCCGACACGATATGGCCCAGGAACTCGACTCGTTTCTGGAAGAGTGAGCATTTCTTGGGATTTAGTTTCAAACGAGCGTTTTCCATTCGTTCTAGCACCTCCTCGAGATTCTTCAGATGGTCATCAAACGTTTTGCCCATAATCATGACGTCGTCGAGGTATACCAGACAGGTCTTCCATGTCAATCCTTTTAGCACCATCTCCATCAGCCGCTCGAATGTTGCTGGCGCATTACATAACCCGAAGGGCATAACGGTGAAGTGATAGAGGCCACTTCCGGTGGAGAACGCAGTCTTTTCTTTGTCGTCCGGGTGCAAGCCTACTTGCCAGTAGCCACTCTTCAAGTCCAAGGTCGAAAACCACGCCGAGCCGGATAAGGTCGTCAAGGTATCGTCTATTCGAGGAAGGGGGTAACTGTCTTTCTTCGTGACGTCGTTCAGTTTCCTGTAATCGACGCAAAATCGGGTAGTCCCGTCCTTCTTGGTAACCAAGACTACTGGAGATGACCACGCGCTGTTGGATTCTTCGATTACCCCATCTCTCAACATGTTGTCCACGAGTCTTGTAGCTTCTTCTTGTTTGGCTAGGGGTAGTCTTCGAGGAGCCTGACGGATCGGTTGCGTGTCACCAGTGTTTATTCGGTGTTCTACGATGTTGGTCTTCCCGAATGGTTCCTCTTCTGAGGCGAAGACATTACGGTGCCTACGAATGAGTCCTTTGGCCAGTTTTCTCTCACGAGCAGACAGCTGGTCCCAGTTGACCTCCAAGCCTTTGGTATCCCTGTCCTTAGACTCATTCTCAACGTCTTCTTCCTCGCAGTTCAACACTCGGGCGACTGGCTCACACATTCCAATAATCTCCCCTTTTCTAATATTGACTGCATTGGGAAACACGTTTGCCACACGTATGGGTATGTCACGGTCGGTTTTGACTAGGGTGCTCGCGATCAGGAGCTTGTGGGTCGAGTCACTTGCCGGCTGCACCATCCCCAAACTGTATCCGGGGTTTGTCTCTACTCTGGCGGGAACGATGACTTCTGCATTACCATCTACCTTCGTTGTCTGACAGACCACTAGTCTGACCGTTGCAGCTTCCACATTCGGACGTCCCAACACAAATTCTTCGGCTCCGAAACGCAGAATTTTCTGTTCTGGGTCGATCATTAAACCATACCGGCTGATTAGGTCCATACCCAGAATGAAATCGTCAGCGATTTCCGCCACCAGAACTTCATGCCTTATTCGGAGTCGACCGAGCTGTACATTCACCACCGCTGTACCCAGAACCGGTGTTGTTTCTCCTGTGACCGTCTTTACATTCGTGGCGGTACATACTGATTTAATCTGACAATTTTGTAACCTGGATCTGCGTGCAAGGGACACTTCGGCTCCTGTGTCGATGATGATCTTCGATTCCCGTCCATTGATTTTTCCGCTGATTGTCGGACTATCGACGCTCCCCGCGATACTTCTAACCATTACAGTTGTTGGGGCTTCTCTTTTAGCAGCCAGTACGCGCCCCGAGGTACCGACTGCCTTTAGTTTTCCTGCTCCTGATGTAGACGAGGTCGCGAATGCGATCTCCTCATCGGCGCTGGCGATCTAACACGGCAATCCCTCCTAACATGCCCTTGACGCCCACACCTGTAACATTCTAGGCGCCCTCCATGTTGTCTAGAACTGCCCGTCTTGATTTCGGCAATTATTTCGCGGGCGAGTTTCTCAAAGTTCTCGCTCATTTTGTCGAGACTCTCTTGAATAGGGTTTACTTCGCCCTCAACCCCAATGCCTCGTATCTTAACGTTGGAACGAGGTGAGCTGTTGTATGCGGCGTCCACTTCTAACGCTCGAATCAGCGCCTCGGATGGTTTCTTGAACCCGGAGATTTGCAGGACTCTTCTTACCTCACTATCTCTTACGCCGTTTACGAAGGTTTCTGCTGCCAGTCTGTCTTGGAAGTCTTGCGGAGCTTCAGGATAGGCGAGGTGTACCAAACGTTTAACATCAGCCGCAAACTCCTGAAGAGATTCACTACTCTTCTGAATCCTAGATTTAAGCTGCGCTACGAAAACTTGCCGGAGGTGTTCATCTCCAAATCTGAGTTCGAGGGCGGTCGTCAAAGCGGTATAGTCCTTCTGGTTCTCTTCTGATAATGTCTGTAGAATCTCCAGGGCCGCACCTCGTAGTGCTACTACCAAAGCGGTCGCTTTCTGTTGGTCATTCCAGCTATTCGACAAGGCCGCAGCTTCAAATTG